TCCTTCCTTCCTTCCTTCCTTCCTTCCTTCCTTCCTTCCTTCTTTCCTTCCTTCCTTCTTTTTCTTTATTAAGGGCTAATAGTTTAGAGAAGGAGCAATCTGGGATAAGCTGTGAAACAAATGGCCTCATAGGATTACAGGAGAGTTCTTTTATGTCAAAGCTGATGGTGTATTCATTATCCAGTCCCCTAGTTTTACAAATAAAAAAAAGTAATGACAGTTGTCTGTAACTGAAAAAATAAAGAGCAAAAAAAAAAAAAAAAGTAATGACATGCTTTGAACATACAGAAAATCACAAAGGATAATACAGTGAATGCCACCCAGATTCTATAGATGTAAACAGTTCACCATTTTTTTTTTAAAAAAAAGAAATAAAACATTAAGATATGACCAAAGCCTTACATATAATTATATGGTATATAATTTTTAGTAAGCCATTTAAAAATTCCCTGGTGGACAAAAAGCTCCCAATGATGGTTACCTTTGGGCCAAGTGATGAAAGTAGGGCCACTTTTACTTTTCAATGTATAACTTTCCATGCCGTTTTTTAAACAACCTTACACATAAATTATTTTATTGATTTTTCAAATTATAAAAGACCTTGCTCTTTAGAAAATATTCCAGAAAGGATGACCCTTACTTTTCAGTGCTGCAGAAAGGTTATTAAACTTGGAGACAGAGAACTTGGATTTTACGCCTTGAGAAGTTATTAACTTTGTTTCTCTCATCTGAAAAGCGGAACCAGTTTACCTGTTCCATCACCTTGTTTTGAGGATACAAACAATGCATGTAATTGAAAGCCGTGGATATGGAGGACAAAAATACAGTGAAGCAGGATATAGTTTGGGTACTTAGGAGATCTAAAGACTAATATCAGAGCACCAGGTTAATGTGACCTTGACTGTGGTATCTCCAGGCACTCTGCTGGCTTTTGAGGTTGCAAGGGCAGAAAGAATTTGACTCTGAAGTTCAGAGTGACTCATGAGAGGAAGAATTTGTCTTGGTTTCTTCTATTCATGAGGGAAGTTTTCTTATAATTCTTTATCTGCCTTGTTACCTGGAAATAGAAACAAGATTTCTATTAGTCCAATACTTCTCATAAATGTTTATAGATTCTATTTTAGCATTATCTTAGGAGTTGTGTGTTACTTATTTGTGACTAATGACAGCAAGGTAAATATCAATGAGGGTATCATAGTCTACTCTAACGTGTTGTCGTAAAGCATTACAGATTAACTACTTTGGAAAGTAAACCAACCAAGGGCATTTTAAAAGCAGTAGCAGCCATGGATTTTTTTTCTCATTTATGCTTATTAGCGAATCTACTGAACCAAAAATGTGCATACTTAACAGCATTCCATTGTAATCAATGAATGGGGCCCTTCAATTGAAATAACTTTATGATGATATAGAGGCGTGGGAGGGGAGGGATGGGCATTGGGGTTACATTTCACAATTTCAAGTGGCCCAGTGTGCAGAGTCAGGAAGGAGTGGCCATTTCATCCTTAGCAAGGTTAAGGTGCAGCTGGAGACTCTGTCTTCTTCTTTGGCTGCTGCTGAGGGCAGGGTGGAACAGATCCAGGACCTGGGAAGGAAATGCTTTCCTTCCAGCCACTGAGAATCACAAGGACACTGAGACATGGAGGGGTGAAATGTTTTATCTAGTCACTCACTCAGGCCTATAGTGGCAGCGCTGGGGTTAAAACCAGCGCTGGGGTGTCTCTTTCTAAGTCATCATCTCTTTCCCCATACGCTGACTGGGCCTCTCCTCCTCCATCAGGAAAGACCATGACTTTGGGTCCCTTGGGGCTAGAGAATCTGTAGCGGAGGTGAGGCATCAAGTCCTCAGGAGGCCCGTCTTGGAGGACGGGGTCATGGATTAGCATATAAGCTTGGAGTTGGTGTGAGACAGGCTCTCTGCCAATGAGGAGGTGGGGAATAGAAGATTTGGTTGGTGGGGACCCGAGTCACACTGGAGGGCCATGAGAAGCTGCAAGGGGGCAGAGGGGAAGATAAGAATATAGAAATGATGCAAGGGTACCGTTCCCCAGGGCTCTGACTGGGTGGCCCTTTACATGCCCTAAAACATATTAGGGTTTATGCAATAGAACAGCTTGTGCATTGCATCTAGGGGAAGTCTATTTTCTTTCCTACCTAGAGATTGGAAAACAAAAGATTCACCATGATCCTCCCTTAATCCTATCCTTCCTGGTAGTATTGGAGATGCCATGAAAATTCATTTTGGTTGACTCCAGCACTCTCTGTTGGTTTAAATTAGCAACTGCACCATCCAGCCAGGTAAAGGTTCTTTATGAGGCTAAATGAAGCAGGGAGGAGAAAAGGAATTGCATCCAGAACTAGTGAAATCAAGGGTGAAGAGGGAACAATTCTTCCTCAAGTTATATGAGCTAATCTACATAAAACCACATAGCACCAAGCCTGCCATGCAAGATGTTCTCGGTGATATTCTGGTTATGTTATGGTTAAGATGGACTCCATCTGGACCAGGGAGATCACATTATGATGTTGCTAAAGTTTCTCCCCACTCCAGGGTGGGGCTAGAGTTTTCCAGTCATGGGATTCTCCACCAGTCAAACTTGCTTGTGAGAATAGATCTGATCAAACTTTGCACACTGACGTGTAAACAGTGGTTAATGGCTTAGAGTGGCAGTCCATGGGTGAGTTGGTAGGAACTTCAGAGTGTTAATAGTTGTTTTTTGGCAAACAGAGTTTCATAGTTAAATAAGTTTGTGAAAGGCCATTTCCCATGCTCCCCTCTTGGGGATTCACTGTACATGCTGTATATTAAAGGCTCAGAGAAATTGGTAAAGAAACTGCTTTAATTTTGTCTAATCCAGCATTTCACAGATCTCTTTGACCATAGAAGCCTTTCCTTTTCATGGAATATCTATTATCATCTTTAACAAAGCTTTTTGGGAAACTTAGAAATAGAGCATGACTCTCAGGTATTCTTATCCTCCTAATTTTTAATTTTATTGTGAGATGAACGCTTCACATGTGATCTATCCTCTTGGCAAATTTTAAGTGTACAATATGTTATAGCTGACTTACAGGTACAATGTTGTGTGGCAGCTCTCTAGAGCTTGTTCATCTTACTTGACTGAAACTTTATGCTGACTGATTAATAATTGCTCATTTCCTCATCCCTCCAGCCTGTGGTAACCACTATTCCAGTATTTGATTTTGTGAGTTTGACTATTTTAGATACCTCATATTTGTGGAATTGTGTCTTTCATATTCTTAACTGGGGATAAAAATATGAATCTCTATGATATTTTAGCCAAAGGGCAAGAGGGTTTGGGCCAACACTGGGCCCTAGAAATCACAAACATTGACACTACACAGGAGATGGCTTCTGCTGAACACTCCAAGCTTGCCTCCCTGGCCTGTAGCTAATGTACTTCAGCCAGGCCCTGTAGCCAACTGGCCTCTATCACCCTTAATTCACCTCTCTTCTCCTTCCAGGCAGACATCTTCTCTGGGGCCATATTCATCAACTTGGCCATGGGCCTGGATCTGTACCTGGCCATCTTTCTCTTATTGGCTATCACTGGCATTTACACAATTACAGGTGAGTCCATTCAGATATCTTGGCAGGAGCCCAGCCCAGGGTTAGGCTCTTGGGAAGGATGAAAGGAAGTAGGAGACATGGCTTCTCCTCTTGAGGAAGAGAAATACACCCAGGAAATAGTTTGAGGATGAGATATTTGCTTGGTCTCAACTTATAGACCCTAAGAAGTTATACAGGTGGCCCTAGACAACTCCAGTGTTGGCTGGAATAGTCAGGACGGCTTCTTCCAGCTGGTGGGGCAGGGCTTGGCCTTGCAGGTTGTAGAGGGAACTTGGCTGAGTTGGGAGAATCAGGGAAGGAGTGCCAGGTGCAAGGACAGGTAGGAGCAAGGAATGGAGGTAGGAATGGGCATGGTGTGGGGCCAAGGCAGAACGAGCAGCAGATGTGCTTGGCTGGAGGAGGGCAGTCAATATGAGGCAGTTGGGGTGTGTGAGTGGGTGATAAGTCCTGAGAATTCAAGCAAAGTCACAGGGAAGAGGCCTTGGAAGCCAGATAGATGCCTCGAATTTGATGTGACAAGGACTGGGAGGCAATGTGGGGAGGATGGGAGAGATTTTAGAGGAAGACTCAAGAGGTCTACTGGAGAAGCTAGTGACACAAATAACAATTGGGGACCCCTTTGCAGAGGTGTTACTCTGCCTCAGTTAGGGGGACCAGGGCCAGTGATGGAACTTTCTGCTCAGCTGGGGTCTCATAGCTTTTGGGGACAAGAAGTTACATAGATGGCCTGAGAAAGAGTCAACATACAAGTAGCCCTTTGAAATGTGTTGATTTGGTAATAGCCATGGACATCATGTAGAGATGTCAGCACTTTGCTCTTCCCTACCTTTATTTGTGGAAGATGCTTTTTCTTATTATAGAGGAGCCATCTCCTGGCTTAAAAGGATCACATTAAGCTCTTCCTCCTCAAATAGGGAGGAATATTTCTCCTTTCCTCAAGGTCTTCTCTGCGTTTTTGTGAAAAGTGGAGATGTTGGATAAGGCTGGGTAGCAGGCTGCTGTAACAGGATAGGGAGAGAAGGAAGGAAAAGCAAGTAGGTGGCTAAGGAGCATGCTAAGAAGGTATGCAGAGGGAGAGGGGCAGCGGTGGAAACAGGAGGCAGGCTGACAGATTGTTGTCCTACATGAGGTCAGATGGATTGTCTCCTTGTCTACTTAGGGGGCCTGGCAGCTGTGATTTACACGGACACCTTGCAGACGGTGATCATGCTGGTGGGGTCTTTAATCCTGACTGGGTTTGGTAAGTGGTGTCCAGATAGGCTGAGGAGGGGAGGAGGCAGAGGTAGAGTCCCAAGAAGAGAAAAGCAAGTCTAGCCTCTCTGTCCTTTGCCTCCCCAAGCAATGAGCTGGGCGAGCTCTGCCCTCACCAGGGGAGTGGTCTAACCCAGAATGAACATCACTGTAGGTGTTCAGGGGGCACCTTCTTTAGCCCTGGAGGTCTCAGGCTTGGCCTGGCCCAGACAACACCTGGATTCCCTGCTATCCTTTCTGAATAGCCTGGGCCAGTGGTACCCACTGTGGGCCTCTGATGACATGGTCTTCTCTCCACAGAGAAATTGGACATAAAAAGGAATAAGGCTAAATATCCACTGGGCTAAATATATTCAAATGTTGTGTCTTAAATCTCAGATTATATCTTGTCTACATTTTGATATTAAATGTTCTTTCTTTTATGAAGTGATGATAGTGATCATTTTCTTGCTTATGTCCTTATTTGACAAAATTTAAAAAAATCAATCATTCTATGTTGTCCCTCATTCCAATTTTTTAAAATTTTGTCTATGAACTCTTGAAGATAAGACTGGAAACCTTAGATCTAGAGGTACTTGTTAGAAGAAGATATAAAATGCATTTTATTTTTAAGGGGGCCCATGCCCTGTGTGTCCTGTGAAGTCTCTTATCTGCTTTCTATGCTATTTTCCAAGAGCTTCCATTCAGTTTTACCCAGTGGTCCTTGAGGGTCTGCAGGGCAAGGGCTGGAATGTTTTATTCAAAGACACACAGTCAACAGGTGACAGGACTCCAGACTCCTTATCCATTTTCTGTTCATCCTACCACATGGCTGGGACCAGGGGTGGTATTGCCTAGTCTGTGTGTCCAGGTTCCTAAAAGCTGCTGCTGACATGGGGAGCAGGTGAGGAGGTTGAGGGGAAAAACAAAGTTTCTGAACCTGGTTCAAAACCAAGTTTTCTTTTTCTTTTTGTTTTATTTTTTTTTTTGTAATTAAATTACCTTCTTTTTGTAAAGAGGTTTATGGTTGGGGTCCTTTTACAGGTTATTGTTTTGGATCCCCACAGTAGTCCCCCAGGGGGCTAGGCAGGGTTAATAATCCCATTTTATGGATGAGACAGCTAAGGCCCGGAATGGGAAAGTGACTTGCCCAAGACCACACAGTGAGGGCTTTCGCCGTGGGTCGGGTCCTCTTAGTTTCTCAGGCATCTACAGGAAGAAACTGCTATGAAGAGTTGAAAGTTTTGGGATATTGATTTTTGTTACTGATGTTTTCCAGCCTTTCACGAAGTGGGAGGGTATGAAGCCTTTATGACAAAGTACATGAAAGCCATTCCAACCACGATTTCTTATGGAAACATCACCATCAATGAGGAATGCTACACCCCAAGGGCTGACTCCTTCCACATCTTTCGAGATCCCATCAGTGGAGACCTGCCATGGCCCGGGCTCATCTTTGGGATGTCCATCCTAGCCCTGTGGTACTGGTGCACAGATCAGGTACCCACGCTGGACATGCAGGGTGGTCAGGGTATTACTCAAGGTACTACAGGGACTCCTGTCTATCTGTGGTTTGCAGGGTTGGGAAAGGAAGGGCAGGGCTCATATGTGCTGGGGGTCACTAGCCTTGGTGACATGGGAGTGCCAGGCTGAGGACCCAGGATGTGGAGGGGAGCTGGGGTGGCCAGAAGGTGTCTGCCTGCACCCTTCCCTCACCAGGCTTTCCCTGGCAGGTCATTGTCCAGCGCTGCCTCTCAGCCAAAAACATGTCTCATGTGAAGGCTGGCTGCATCATGTGTGGGTACCTCAAGCTGCTGCCCATGTTCCTCATAGTGATGACCGGAATGGTCAGCCGCATCCTGTACACAGGTGATGCCTTCTGCTGGACTCAGCGGCCATTCTCTCCCATTCTCCTGTCTCTGAGTCACTTCTAAAGCTCTAAAGCACTCTACTCTTTCCTTTCCGTCTCCTTCTTTTTCTTTTCTTGCTGCAATAATCAAGCGTTACTGTTCTCCTCCTAGAGAGTGAGCAACTTGAGATCACAGAATCTATCGAGTTGCCTTCCCTGGTTTCTTATGTTGGCAATTGCTTTCTCCCTTTTTGCAAATTCTCTGAAGTCATGCTATGTCTCCAGCTGTAGCTTCTTCCAGCTAATTATTGCTCACTTTTTGCTTAGTCCTACTCAAGGCTGTAGTAATGTGTACTATGTCCCTAATGTGAGAGAACCCCCAGCCAGTCTGCCGCTCCGAGCCCTATTTCCTGGACCATTTCCTTGAGCCTTGCACATTGCTATCTAGGGTGGTAGATTCTTCCTTGGCCTTTTTGTGGCCTCTCCAGCATTGCCATTGCATTTTTGTGTTTTGCTCAACCATGCTAAGTCAAAACCTTCCTGGAATATGAAATAATGGCAAGAAAAGAGTACCATGAAGTGAAAGTTGGTGAGGGCCCTTCAAAATCAGGACAAGACAGTCGGGGGATATTTGCTGCCATTGGCTGCATGCTCCTAATAGTGCTCTCATACTCCTATGCAGGTTCACTTGTCGTGAGAAAAATATATCTAACTGATAGTTCACATTATAATTGATACAACACATACAAATATTAGAGATGAATCAGTGCTATAAGGGGCAGCATTAAATAATACATCTGTAGTAGGTACCTAATAAATGTTTGCTGATTTGAATTCTATAGAGGTTTCTAGATGTTTCTTCAAGTCTCTAGATCATGTTCCTTTTCCCTACTAGACTGCTTCCTTTCTATCTCTACTCTAGATTTTTCATATCTTGGAAATAACACCCATCAGCTCTCCCACTGGGGAATTCCTTCCATTGTTTGCAAATTCCCCCAGTCAACCCTACTTGCAAGAGCTGCTTCAAATAAGCCTCAAGATTAGGAGTTACGAGGCACTGTGATCTTCAGGCAAACAAAGCAATGGTCCCTGCTGTGCTGCAGGGCAGCTAGCTGGAGTCTAAGGACTGTGCCCCTCCCTTTCCCACTCTCAGCATTTCTGTGCTTCTCCTTCCTCTGCGTAGGAACTGTCTTTCCTCCCCAGTCAAAGCTTAGGGGTGGTCAGAAACAGCAGGGCAGGGGCATGGCGGCCAAAGGGCTCAGCCAGGAGCTTCGCTCTTTGTGGAACCTTGGGCAGGAATGTCTTGTTTAAAGTCTTGTTTTAAGAAAGTGAATCTTGAGAATCTTTCCCTGCTGTCTGCTTGCTGACATAGCTCTTTATCTCTCCCCAGAAAAAGTTGCCTGCGTCGTCCCCTCGGAATGTGAGAGATATTGTGGCACCAAGGTTGGCTGTAGCAACATCGCCTATCCGACCCTGGTGGTGGAGCTCATGCCGAATGGTAAAAGTCATCCCCACTGGTGGGGTCTTTCTTGGGGGGCTGATTGGACTTAGACTTTACATGGATTTCTGTGGGCCTCCTGGGCAAAGTCATGATCCTGGAAAGTTTTGATCCTGGAAGCAAGTAGGGCAAAGTTTTGATCCTGGAAGCAAGTAGGGAAAAAGCCTCATTCCAGGTGTCCTCAGCTTTTTTTTTTTT